TCTTCCATCCCTGCCCTTTTCCCACTTTTCTTAAATAATTAGCTCTAGGTGGCTTCTAGCCCCACACTAGCCACGTCTCTGCTCCATTGACCTGGGAGTGTCCAGGCTGGCCTTCTTCATCTTTAAACCCACTTGCCAGGTTGGAGCCCGTGAACTTTAGCCTGTTTCAAATTCTCACACACTAGGGAATTAGTATTTTTCTAGGGCTTAAAAGTTATTTTTGAATATCCTAAGCAACTAATGGGGTTACACACTATTGCACACTGTTGAGCATTAGAGCTTGGAATTAGATAGAAAGTTATCAAGGTCACATGGTGCTCAGAGAAATGGTTTACAAAGGAGATCGGAGGCACCAGGAGACCAGGAGTCTAGTTGAACTCTGTCATTCATTAGCTCTATGGATTTGTGGAATAATTACAAACTTGTTGAGATTCACATTTAATTTTCTATAGAACATCTTGTGTGTCTAATAGAGTTGTCATGGGTCCCAAGCCTCCAAAATTTCCACAGAAAATTCATAGGGCATGTGTGCAATTAGGAATCTATACTGGGATGTTTTTGCCTACTTCATGTTTCTGCACAACATGAGACATTTTCCCTTTTATTTTGTTATTTTTCTCCCCTATCTATGAAAAGTAGACCCTCAAGACAAAGGCATTGTTTACATTTTCCTTCCATCTTTTTCTTCCTCTTTTGTTTCCTTCTTTCCTCTATCCCTTGTCTCCTTCACTCTTTGGCAAGATCTCACTTAGCCCAGACTGGCTTCTAAACTTGCTATGTAGCTGAGGTGTTGAACTGTTGATCTTTCTGCTTGTACCTCCCCACTGCTAGGATTAAGGCAGATACCACCTGGTCCAGCTTTGTCCATTTTTTTTCATTGTTAATTTCCCATCACCCAGAACAGTACCTGATACATAGTCATTTAACACATATTTGTTGGATGAATTAACCGTGTAAAAATGTCAATACCACCTGCAAAATTTCTTATTCTAGTTCTGTTAGAATTCCATGCCAGGAAGCAAATAGTCTACTAGTGAAATAGTCAGTCAGGGCCTCAAGTTTTTCAATGACAAATTTCAGTTTGGAGTCATATTTGCTCATTGTATACTTTTATCTAATTTTTTATATGCTGAAACGTTTATGCATGGTCATCAATAAAAACACATCGAGGCATATTTCCAAATAAAATGGTAACTGGTTCATCTAAAAGAAAGAGCACAGACTTGTATATTTAGAAGGATAGGGCCGAGTGTGATGTCTCATGCCTGGAATCCCAGCACTTGGGAAGCCGAGGCAGGAGACTTGTACATTTCAGGACATCCTTGGACTGGGCTACAGTGTGAGACCCTGTCTTGAAAAACAAAACAAAACAAAAACTAACAAATAAATAAATGAAAATAAAAGAGTAAGGCTTGAATTTCTAATAGCTTCATACATTTTGGCATTCTTCAACCTTCCTGAACTTCAGTTCTCCTGCCTATAAAGTAGACCCATGGCCTTTATCTCAACAGGTTGCTCTTCAGACTGACAGATGATGTATATACAATCCTAGCACATGATGGACAGTTGATAGACATTTTTGGGACTTGAGACTCAGAAGAGTCTTCTGAAACAACAATGTGACAAACTCACTACCACAGCAGGCTGAACTACTGCTTACAATCAGTTTAAGCACATTTTGAACCTAGTCAAGTATCTCCCAGAAATGCTGATGCATTATTTTTGGTATGGAATTTTTCTTCTAAGGAGGCCTTAGTACACATACATACATATATACATACATACATACCATACTGCATAATACATGGTCACACACATACACACACATAAATGTATGTGCATTTTTTTTTTTTTACCAAAAATAGAATGTCCTTTAATGACTGTAGCAGCGAGCATCTCAATCTTCTGAGATTCTTGGGATGATCTTGGTGTGACCTGGGGAACTTAGACCAAGGAAGGAAGAGTATCAGCAACTTAGAACTGGACATTCAGGTGACCCACATTCCCGAGACATTCTCTTGTCTGGAGATGATCGAACTAGTAATTTCCATAGGTTCAGAGGGTGGAATAAAGCACAGATCTCAACTATGTACCTTTTCTTATTTTCTTTTCAGTGACTACGTCTCGAAGGAGGAACTTCTGCGTGGACAGTTAAAACTACAACAGGCTTTAAAATGCCAATGTGGCTAGCGACTTCACTTGGTTCCTAGCAACACACACCAAGACACTACCAAGAGAAAAATTTCACCCTATGATAAAAAATGCACAATAACTTGTCCCTACTTGGTTTCTTCCAATAGGCAATGATGCTATGAAGCCCAAGTTGCCTTGACTGTCCAGGCTGCATCACCTCTGCCTTGATACAGGCCCTAGTTTGCTCATCCTGCTTTGGCTACACCAAGGGGAGTTTTCATGAGCAGACACTTTGAAGTTGTACCACAGCTTTGAGATGTCACTAATGACTCCTCTTCGCTACTTTCCTGCTCGGGAGGATCTTGGCCAGCCCTGTCTAGCCATCAGACTTTCAGGGTTCCACTAATGAAAACTTCAGAACTGGGTGAGGTAAGAAGTCTTGGCAATTAATTTACTTTAAGTCTAAATTCAAAAGCATTCCATAGCAAGGTTGCCCATCTCTTGCTTCCTAATAAATAAGAGCTGTCAGAGGTGACTTCAAAGACACAACCCTCAAGAGCAGAAGACAGCACCAAAGAAGGCTCTGATTCTGGTTAACGTTCTAAGTTCAGCATCTCATAAACCATAGCTACCTAGTCATTCCAGGGTCGCTGTTCAAATTCACCTTTTGAAAAAGTGTCTTGCACAACTTGAGATGTCCCTGTTGCTAAGCCACCAAAGACTTATGTGATAAAGTGTGGTCCCTGGGATACTCATTAAGAAATGGACAACACATATTCAAAGAAAAGATTCTTACAGACCTTTAGAATTTTTATGAAAAGGCTAATTGTATGCAGTCAACTTCAGCACAGTTTTCTGTCAGCCAGGGCTGGGGATTTTAGAAGGTGTAGGTAACTGAAAACTGTAAAGTCTGTCTGTGTTCTGACTTTCTGCATCAAGAGCAAAATGTTCCCTGTGATTGTGGCTATCAGAAATTATTCTGAACTTCTCAATATTTCCCGAAGTTTCTTCGGCTCCTCAGAAAATAATTCTACTAAATTCTGAGTCATGAAGGTTAAGTAGTCATGGCCAACTGCCAGGCCAGCTAACCTAGATGGATGCTTCGCAGAGTAGTGACAATTCTCCAAATTCGGGAGGGACTTGCAGCTACATGCTTTTGGAATTTTAAGAACAGAAACACAACATTAAAATGCAGCATAGTTTTCCCTTTAGTAAAGGCAGAGGTTTACAGCATATGTTGCTGGTATTTTTATTTTTATTATTTGAAAACTAGCATTTTTATTTAAAAATAATGAGTTGTGTTGTTGTAGTTTAATACAAGTTAATATAATTTTGTTGTATAAACTAAGTTGATTATTTGACAATGAAAACTTTACTGAGTTATTAACTTCTATCATACAAAATAACTATAGTAAACATTCCTAGCCTTAATGAGTAAATGCAATTTTCCTTTAGAGTCTGTTATTATAATTTCAAATCAACAAGGTGTACTCATTTAAATTAAATTAGTCATTTAAAAGAGGTGCTTGATTATGAGAGGATAATTTCACAGAGAATTAGATATCTGAATAAAATAGCTTATAAACAGGACTATCAGAGAAGAAATCAAAAAAATCTATGACAATTTTTTTAGCATAGGGCCGAAATGATGCCATACATTCTCCATGTTATACTGCCACCAAGTGGCTAATTTCTTTATAAATCATACTTAATTTTTGTTATAAAAGCAAAAGTTATGGCGAAGATATTTTTGCAGAAAACAGATGTGTAAGATAAAAACAACCCAATTATACCCTCTTAATTCACCAGCTTTTAGTATTTTGTAGTACATTTAAGTATTTTAACATATGAAAGGCCCCGCAAATAGAATGATACACACAGACTCCTTCACAGCTGTAAAACATTGCTTGTGTCAGCTTCAACCACCAGGCCATTAACTACCATGCTGGGAAACCCTCATGCTATCTCTGCTATTTCTTTATTACATGTGGTGTTCTGTTCACAGTGGGACAATTCTGCCCTGAAGTAGAGTGTTACATTGTGTGACTATTATATCTTCACAGGATATATTAGAGGACATTCAGAAACCCAAATAATTTCTAACTTCAAAAGATTTTTGATGTAGCTTACACATACTGGCATGGAAAGTAAGAGTGATCCTAATAGAAGACAGAGTGGGGGCTGAAGGCTGGGGGCTGGAGAGATGGTGCAGCAGTTAAGAGCACTGGCTGCTCTTCCCAAGGCTGAGTTAAGTCCCAGCAATCACATGGTAGCTCACAGTCATCTGTAATGTGTTCTAGTGTCCTCTTCTGGCCTGCAGGCATACATGCAGGCAAAACACTGTATACATAATAAACAAAGAAATCTTAAAAAAAAAAAAGAAAATAATGTCTCTGGAGGTAGCTAGAGTCTTTACAATCTTTACAATAAGAATAGTTCCTCATTCTTGGGCAAAAAACAGAGCATAAATATACTCTTAAGCCCAACAAATAACAGGCTAAATTAACCAAATCTACTACTCCAAAGGACTGGTTTTAGAAATAATGAATTCTATTTGTTTCTTTGAGCTGGTACCAAATGATCTCCATAGCTCTTCACTGTATGGTGACCTCCAGGCAAACCATGTCTGGGCAATCTATGTTTGTTATCACTGTGAGGCAACCATCTGGTACCTTCTAGTGTGTTTCAGATGACACAGTAGACCTCCTGTGCTCTCTGCTGAGTCTCACAATCATGCCTTTAACTTCATCATAACTAAGCATGCTGTTTACTGAGTGAAGACTTAGGAATGGTAACTAACTTGTCAATGTTTCACCTACTTGTTACATGTATTATGTACTGGTCACTAGGCTCATAAACTAATAGTCTCACTTTTGCAGTAGTTCATGGTGGTGAACCTGCCAGAAGTCTGCCCCCCCGTCAAAGATGACCTTGCGTCTCTGAGGATAAGTCACAGGGTGTCAGCACTGCCCGGCCTCACTGCGTTCTAGATCCCACTGCAGTGTGTATTATTGGGCTAAAACACTGAGCACTGGCTCTTCAAAGCTTTAGTCTATGGTTATGTTTCCCAGATATCTTTCTTGATCACTCCATCAACACACTCTAATTATGACAGGCTTGGGAAGTACAGAAGATTATAGAGGGCACACAGGATTTCAAACTCTGTCACAACCTAGAGACAGTCATTTGAAATACTTGTTCCACATCGATACCTATTGGAGATCACATGCTCTAGCAATGCCACAGTGTGTCTTGTGCATCCAGTGTTATATAATGAGCACTTCCTCATTAAAAATTACTCAAAACACACTTATGATTGCTTAATATTCATCATGCTCATACAATGCAGTATCCATACAACCACACTACTGTTGAAAAGCTGTTTTGAACATAAACTGTTGACTCACATAAAATAGCTGAGGTCCTAGCTCCATCACTTGGAATTACATAATCCCAAATGGATTATTAATCCTTTCTGTGATTTATGTTCTTTATAGCAAAACTGGAAAACAGACATGCTTTGCTTAGGGATTTTAATGACTGTCTTAGTTACTGTTCTATTGCAGTGAAGAGACACCACGATCAAGGCAGCTTATCAAAGAAGGCATTTAATTAAGGGACTTGCTCACAGTTTCAGAGAGTTAGTTCATGATTGTTATGGCAGGGACAAAGGTGGCAGAAGTAGTAGTTCAGAGCTCACATCTGACAAGCAAGTTGCAGGCAGAGAAAGAGAGAGAGAATGAGAGAGATTAGTTGGTCAGATCTGGACTCACCTTCTCCACTAAGGCATACCTTCACATCTTCTCCAAACAGTTTCACTGACTAGAGGCCAAGTATTCAAACACATGAGTCTGTGGAGGGCCATTCTCACGAGACACAATGAGACAGTTGTTTTATATAAATTAAAGCCTCAAAAACATTATTTATTGCTATGTTGGACATTTAAATTGACTCCAAATTCTCACTATTATAATCAGCTTTGGGACAAGTGTCATTGCACAGGAATTTCCTTTCCTTATCTGTTGATTTTCCCTATATATCTTGAGCTCCGTATCTCTAATTATTTTTCAAGGCTCTATTTCTTTCCAAAAGAAAGAAGAGTTAAAGCAAGAGGTAACTTTTTTTTTAAACCAACCATTTTCTTAAAACATAAGCATCTCCTTTAGGTTCCTGTCTTTCTAATCTTACTTTAATAATTCAACTATCTAACAACATTTAAATGTTATCATCACAGGCCAAACCTGGGAGGTGGATTTCAATACCATCAGACCATGCTCAAAAATTTGGTCTAGCCTATATTAACTGACAAAATGAAGACACTGACCATACAACAGCTGGTAGGCATCAGTAGCCCAAGGAAGAAACAATAGTAAGTGAACAACCAACTCACCACGAGACTGAGAAAACTAAGCCAAATCAAGAGTTATTTTAAGGAAGCATGAATCATATTACCCAGGATAATTAAGGATGGCAAGGTATGCAGAGATACTACCAACAGACTCTTTTAGTTCATGCGTTCCTCCATTGTTTACATGTTTACAGAGAAGAGGGAAGATGAACAAAGGCATCTTGTTGCAGCAACAAATAAGAGAAAGGGAAGCAAAACAACCAGAAGCTGTTCAAGAAAATTCCCCAAGCCATGTGGGACCACACAGAGATGAGGGTCAGAGACCAAAGCACGTCAAAACTCTAGAGGTAAGAATTTTGCCTGTTGTCAAAGATTCTTTAAAGTTCCAGCCTTGGTTTTGGACACAGTCCTTCCCTGTTCTCAAGTCTGCATAGTCTAGGAGTCCCTGGGAAGAACAGCACACACTCCTACCCACTGAGCAACCTCTCTAGCCCTTCAGTAATCTTGAGTTTTTACTTATCCTACAGAAACACAGTGGTTTATTAGAGGCAGGACCAGGAGATGATAAAACCTGGATGAGAAGTTCAAAAATGACTCATATTTCAAGGAGCGCTGTGTTTGTTTCACAGTTTATTAACTAAGAATCTACAAATCATAATTCATCTATATATGTGTGAATGACAAGTCTCTCATTATAAATAAGGGGGAATTTGGAAAACTCTGTACAGCATTATCAAATTTGCATTACCCTTAACAGCACATATGCTGAGTTCTATTAAGATGTTTGTTTTTTTTTCTTATTGAGGCACTAAAAATCCTGAAAAACTGATAACGAGCACCTAAACAGTGCCGGTGGCTCTGTAGCTACTAACTCCACAGGAACAAAGTGAGAAGGAGTTTCCCAGCTTGCTCACACTTGCCTTCCTCTGGAAAACCATCCAGGCAGGTATCTGTCTTCTCTGGGAAACTTCTACTGAAAGCTGCAGTTCAAGCACACTAATTAGTTATTATGAAATTACTGCCTTTCCCTTGGCGCTCTAGCTTCATAAAAGGATTGCGAAATTCAAGCCCTTTTCTATCACAGAGAGGTCTGTAGGACAGACAGTGTCACCGATTTACACTGGTAGCACTGAGTTCAGGGAACTTACACATTTTTAGTATTGGTTTTCTACAAATTATTGACCAATTATCTTTGTCATTTCCGGTATTATCTGTGCTTAAAGTGCCAGAGATTTCTATAGCAGCTGTCCACGTTGTTGGCTTAGAAGCCCTTAGCCATTCTGTCTCACTGAGGCCTCACAGCCAGAGCAAACTGAATGTGGCAGAAAGGGTCATGTGGACACGATTCTTGAAGACAGACCTGTGCTTGTGCTTCCCGAGAGCCTGCCCTGCCAAGGATGCCAGGATGGGCAGACTCTCAGGGAAGTGCGCAGACAGCACTCAGGAGAATTCCTAAGATTCTTCCGTGCTCTCTGAAGCCTGTGATTACTAAAACCAGGTTTGAAACTGGTCTTGCCCTGCTTCTTGCCTTTGCTAGGTGTTCTTTCTTTCTTTTTTTTTCCATTCCATTGTTTTATTATTTACAAACGCTACAGAATGAGAACAGACACGCTGCGGATAAGAGGGATCCAGTGGGAGAAGTTCACAGAAAGATAGTGCACCAGGGCCATGAGAGCAGCACACAGGCCATATCTATGGGACAGGCAGGACAAGAAGGGGTTAAAAAATGAGATCCAAGCCAGCCAGATCGCAGGGAGGTGCTGGGGGTGCAATTCCCCTCCTGGTCTCCACCCAAGTTCACAGTGCATGCAATAAAATATATGTACAGGAGCTGGATCCTTCCCCTGTGGGGGCGCCAAGGTTACTGAGCTCCTTTGAGGAGGAGCGAAACCAGTGGCTCCCCATGGCGGCCAGGCCAAGGTGAAGCCACATGCGTCAGTCAGGAGCCGTTGTCTTTTTTTTTTTTTAAATATTTATTTATTATGTATACAATATTCTGTCTGTGTATATGCCTGCAGGCCAGAAGACGGCACCAGACCCCATTATAGATGGTTGCGAGCCACCATGTGGTTGCTGGGAATTGAACTCAGGACCTTTAGGAAGAGCAGGCAGTGCTCTTAACCTCTGAGCCATCTCTCCAGCCCAGTTGTCTTTGATCATGTGGTTGAGTTCAATGAGGTACTTCCCCTCTTTGTATTTCTGGCTGCTCTCAAAGGCTTGCTCATATTTCCAGCCCAAGGTGGTCTTGCAGTTCTCGCAGTGGATGTCAGCGACAGCATGAAGACCTGTCAGCATCACCCGCTCCTCTGCTGGCCTGCAGCCCACATTCACCACAGAATTGAAGAGGTAGGCACGCCCCTGACTGCCCTGGAAGGACTTGGAGATGAGGTCGTCGTGGTTGGCCAGGTGAGCTCGGCAGTGGGCACAGCTATACCTCCGGTGACAATCATCCAAGTAGGCCTGAAACGTCTTGGGCTTCGAAATCCGCACCATGGCGGGGGCCAAGGGCAGTGGCCCCACGCGGGGAGCGGCCCACGGGAAGCAGAGGGAGCCCAGTGCCTCGCCTGGGCGCGTGGAGGACCCGGTCCGCGGGGTAGCCTGGCCTGGGAGTGGGGGGCGGCCTGGCCTGGGAGTGGGGGGCGCTCCTGATGGGCGCCGTCCCCCCCCCCCCCCCCGACCCGGATCGCAGCCGCCTGGACTTGTTTACCTAGGTGTTCTTTCTTAAGGAGACTAAACAACAGGGCCCCAAACTATCACCAAGGCCTCTCGCCAATGCATGCTGCTTACAAAGAAGGTTTCCACCAATGACCAGGTTGCAGAGCTGTTGAATCCTCCCCAAAGCTTTTCCACAACCCCCACTTTTATAATAGATCACAGCTTAGTTTATACATCTTAGTGAGGGTACAGAGGCAGTGCCTCCACCCTCTTTTGCAAACAGAGCTCAGATAGACCCAGTTCACACAAGTAGATCATTAAGCCAAGCAGTAACTCCAGAAAGGAGAGCAAAGATCTTTAAATATATCTGTGGAAATGGCGGGTTGTGTGTAGTAGCCGACTAGGTGGCTTTGGGAGCCCACCTTTTACTTAAGTATCTGTGACACTTGAGTCCCTGGGAACCCAATCCGGGAACACTGTTTTTTTTTGTGCTATCTCCCTTATTGGGCTCATTTAGATGGTATTGTTTGCCTCTTGTTTCTGTCTTAGTTATCTTAGGAACCCTGAACCTGGGAACACTGAAAATTGAGAGCTGGATACTAAACCTGGGAAGAATGGTAGCTAGTAATTCTCTCTGTTCTTGGGGTGGGAAGATGAGTTTCATTACATTTTCCAGGCTGGCTTAGAACTCACTATACTGTCCAGGCTGTCCTTGAACTCCTGGTGGGATTTGCGCCTCATGCTGGAATTTCAGGTGGTAGACACCCAACCAGAGATTCTATTTGAAGGTTGCTATGCCATTTAGAATAATGCTTCTTACACTTCATTACAGAAGAACCTGGGAGTGAAGTGGATCAGGAATCTACACAGGCATTTCCAAACAACTGGCCCAGGGCACCCACTCTGAGAAACAGTGTACTCTAGTTTACTTGACTGGAACCTGCTTGAAAAACTTATTAGTGCCCATGACTATCCTGCCTTCAACAAAGTTACCTTTTCTACGTGTTCTTTTTTTTTCTCTTCTCAGACTGCCCCCTTCCTTATACCATCTCAAGACTTTTGGTGTCCTGTGGTTTCATTATCATCACCACAGATTAAGCCTGCCTCCTCATTAGTTACTCATGACGAGGTGTGAAGTACTCCATGGCGTGTTATGATTATTTCCCCACTTGTGCATTTTCGAAGTGAGTCCTCCAACAGAAACAAGGCTGTGTCAGCATAGCATTATTACTGACGTATGTGTGGAGCATTTAGACAGGATGCTGAGATGGGGTGGACACAGGCGATTCCTGGTTCTCCAGGGAAGGCAAATGGAAGAATTGTTCTGGAACCCCATAGCTTGATCTTGCCAGAACTTGGCTATTTGCCTGTTGTGTAACTTTTGGCAAGTTTTTGGACCTCATTACCTTCATCTGGAGGTAATGGGTGGAACAATGATCATGCTGGTTTTACAGGACTATGTCAATAAAGGACAATTTTGAGGTAAAATGCTTACCATAGTGCCCTACCGATGTAATCATCCAAGAAATGTTAGCTAATATATTACGTTTTAAAGACTCCCTGTCTTACTAAGTGACCTCTTGATAACATGCTAGGATAGAGGAGCATGGGTGTCTAACCAGCAAAACTTCCCCTGTGGGTGTCCTAAAGCCTGATCTTCTATTCTGAGGAACTGATTTTTTTTTCTTTTTGGTATAGAGCTCTGCTTTCCAGTAAAGGCTTAATACTCAAGGAAGGAAAAGAGATTAAGTAATTCAAGTCACCCAACTCTAACTATAAATGAGCTCTTTCAGTTTCTTTTTTAGGCTGGGTTTTTTTAAAGCTTTTATTGTTGTCATAGTTGGCAGTAATTGAAGCAGGTAGGCCAAGCAGTCTACAACTGACTAACATCTCAGCTTGAGGCCAGTTTTTGCTGCTTGTATCCTCCATCAATTCATCCTTAATCCATCCATCAACCCATTGATCCATCCATCCTTCCATTCACCCATTCACCTCCACCTACCCATCCATCCATCCATCCATCCATCCATCCATCCATCCATTATTTATTGGCAGACTTTCACTACATAGCCTAGGATGAACTTGAACTCCAAATCGTCCTGCTTCAGCCTCCCATGTTACAGGATTATAAGAATGTGTACCTATGCCCTGTGCCCAAGATCAAGCTTTGAAGGTAAGGAAAAGGCACTCTTTAGAGAGCAGCAATACAGAGAAATGTCCACTAAACTAGTTCGATATACTTTGGGAAATATGGAAACACATGTAATAATTTTTAGAAAATAAGTTGGGAAAATCCTCCATGGAAGGAACATTATTGCTTGGACGGTATGTACTGCCTTATAAATAAACCCTTAATTACTTGGAATTTAACTGTTGGAAAAATACCTATATTACCAAGCAAATTGGCTAACTATAATAATATTATGGAAATAGATTTTGTTTTATGTCTCAATCACAAGTCATGTTAATATTCACCTGTGTAAATTGCTTCTTCCAGATTTTATTTGTATTTGTACATATAAGGTAATGATACTTGCTATGAATTTTATTCTTTCCTATCTTCTCTAGAATAAAACTTCTCCAGTATATAGATCTTGCTCTATTCCTTTGCTTACTGAGATTCTTAAGCACTTATAAGGCCTGCCGTGTGGTATAGGCTAAATTAATATTAATTAACACCATGGTAACTGTCTTTTCATTAAGTCTTAAAAAGGTAAAATGTAAGGATTTGATAAAACATACTTGAGAAACTACTACAACCATTCTCCTAAGTCAATATAGCTTTTATTTCTAAACACTTACCCTTATACCCAAAGATAAATGTGACTCACATTCCTCTCAAAGAAACTTCTTTTCCCAATAGATGTAGACTGCTACAGGGATCCAGAAGTAGACTGGTCAAAATGCAGAGACTAAGTAACCATAGGATGCAAAGACCTAATCCGTACATCTCCAACACAATCCTAATACCTAAAGCTCAGGAGACATGATGGGAAAGAGAGCAGAAATAGCCAGAGGACCAAGATGCCTGCTGTAAGATAGTGTCTTCTAGACCCTATAGGGAGTTGTTCCGTGATCTCACAACAATATGGCTGCCTAAACAAGACCTGCATAATACACCAGTTGACTTGCCAGTGATGAGGAGACTTTCATAAGACTCCACCCCTAGATGAAGAGCTACAATGTCTTCTGAGGGAAGGAGAATTAGTTATCTTTGGAGGTAAGCTCTGTCATAGACTATCCATCTTATATGGTCAGCTCTAAACACATATACCTAAGTACAACAATGGATGGATTCAGTAGTATACACACACACACACACACACACACACACACACACACACACACACACACTGGGTCATATCCAAGAGGTGGTGGTGCATGTCTTTAACTCCAGCACTTGGGAGACAGATGTAGGTGGATCTCTGTGAGTTTGAGACCAACCTGGTTTACAGAGTGAATTCCAGGACAGTCATGACTACCCAGAGAAATCTTGTATAAAAAACAAAACAAGACAAATTTGCCTAACTCTTAATCTAATAATTCTTTTTTAGACATAAAGAAATAAAAGCTTAAATGAAAATCTATTTAAAGAAGCTTACTGATAATGATGAAATGAAGTAGCTGAAACTTTGAATGAGGAAAGGGGGGCAGGAGAAATGGATCAGCAGTTAAGGGCACTGTCTGCTTTTTGAGAGGTACCAGGTTAGAGTCATAACATCTTGACGTTGGTGCATATGTAACTCCAGTTTCAAAGGATCAGATGCCCTCTTCTGGCCTCCTTGGATATTGCAAATATATGGTGTACAGACATTACTTGCAAGCAAAACACTCACACACATTAAAAAAAAAATCTCAGAAAAGAAAATAATTAGATGAATAAGGCAACAGCAGCAAAAAAGATCAAGGGGATACAAATCAGAAAAGAAGAAGTCAAAAATCTCATTATTTTATGATGATATGATGGTTTACATAAGTGACCTCAAAAATTCTACCAAGGAATTTCTACAACTCACAAACACCTTCAGTAATGTAGCAGGATAAAAGATTAACTAAAAAAAATCAGTAGCCCTCCTTTACACAAATGATAAATGGGCTGAGAAAGAAATCAGAGAAACATCAACCTTTACGATAGTCACAAATAGCATAAAATATCTCAGAGTAACTCTAACCAAACAAGTGGAATACTTGTATGACAAGAACTTTAAATCTTTGAAGAAAGAAATTGAAGAAGACACCAGAGAGTGAAAAGATCTTCTCTGCTCTTGGTCATGTAGAATTAACACAGTAAAAATGGCAATCTTACCAAAAATAATCTACAAATTCAATGCAAAGCCCATCAAAATCCTAGCAAAAAAAGAAAAAAAAATCACCACTGCATCATAGCATGCTGAGGTAAAGTAAAAAATCCTAGCAAAATTCTTCATAGACCTCGAAAGAATGCTACTCAACTTCACATGGAAAAGCAAAAAACCCAGGATAGCCAAGACAATCCTGTACAACAAAAGAACTTCTGGAGGCATCACAATTCCTGACATCAAACTCCGCTACAGAGTTACAATGATGGAAACAGCCTGGTAAAAACACATAGAAAGACCAATGGAACCTAATCGAAGACCTGGCCATTAATACACACACCTATGAACACCTGATTTTTGAGAAAGAAACAAAAGAATCAAATGGAAAAAAAGAAAGCGTATTTAACAAATAATGTTAGCATAACTGAATATTAACATGTAGAAGAATGAAAATAGATTTATATCTATCATCATGCACAAAACTCAAGTCCAAATGGATCAAAGACTTCAACATAAAGCCAGCCACACTTAACCTCATAGAAGAGAAGGTGGGAAGTACACTTGAATGCATTGGCACAGGAGACCACTCCCTAAACAAACACTGAGAGAAACAGTTAATAAATGGGACCTCCTGAAACTGAAAAGATTCTGTAAAGCAAA